ACACAACCATCTGGCGCCTCCCTTGCCTGCATCGCGCCCTCCTCTACCTCATGCACCGTCTGGCCCTTCCCTCCGTGCCTCCTCGCCGGCACACGCTATCATGGATTAGTGATCCGCCACGGTCTGGGGAACTTCTACACCCAAAACATGGCACCGCGGCCGCCTGACTTGGCGACGGGGCGCGCCGGTGTGGTATGGAAACCAGACCCGTCGCTGACCCACGCGCCGCAATCCATGTTTTCGTGTCCTAGATCCTCCCCTCTCCCTCCCTCTCTCACTCCCTCCCACCCTCCCTCATCATGTCCCCCCCCGTCTCCCCTGCCTTCTCCCGCACTCCCGGGTGCCGTTCGCACGTCCGTGGCAGGATCTGTGCCCTGAAAGCCCAGCTGCTTCCAGCCCTCGCCCGTCTCTTGAGGAAGAGAAAACGGCATAAACCAAAGCTGTCGGGGGTCCGCGCGGATTCCTTGGATCTGCGCTGGGCCCCCCTCCCTTGGACCAGAGAACAAACGACACCACCCCACCTACGGCCCCACGGAGCTTAGCGTATACCAGGAATTCTGGCGCGGGTTCTTACGTGGTGTACGCCACGGTCCCCGATGAGCCGTAGCTCAACATGGAGGGCCGTAGGTAGGGTGGTGCCGTTTTACTCAATCGCTTCGCTCATTCCGCCGGCCCGTTTTGTGCCATCGCAGGCGTTTGCCTGCGCGTTCGTGGCCTCTTGGGGCCTCTCGGGGGCCGCGTGGGGGCCGTTTGGGGGCCGATTGGGGGCCTTTGACCGATCCCTGGCGCGCCAGGGCGGGCCCTGGCGCAGGTCCGAGAAGCCCGCGCGGAGCTCCCAGGAGTCGTGCTCATGCCGGCTCTTGTTCCTCGAGCCTCGAAGGCCACGCGCTTCTCCTTGGCGGCGCGCACGAGGGGGGCACACGCCGGTCGGAAGAAGTACAGGGCAGTTTTTGATACATAGGATGTTCAAAAACATAGGATTTTAATATATGATCAATGTATGAATAAATGTATGCATGAACTCATCGTTGTTTTTAGTACTAGATCCCAGCATTTTTAATTCATGATCCGCACGCGGAGCATGTATTAAAAACGGCACTGTAGGTAAAGCATGAAGTAGGAAGGCGGATAAAATGAGCTGGGTTCAGGCCCTCCCAGAGAAAAACAAAACACAGCAAAAACACATCGACTATTGAAGTAGGAAGGCGCTTGAAGTAGAGGGGGATCTGGGAGGCCAGAAAAACCTGCTTTCAGCGACCGGCGTGCAGGGGGAGGGGGGAAGGCTTCTGAGGAGGCTGCTTCGGAGCCTGCTTCTGAGAAGGCGGCGGCCCCAGCTCTGCAGCCAAGGCCCTCGCCTCCTAAGAAGCAGGGACGCTTCCAAAAAGCCCTCCCCCTCCCCCCATCCCCCTCTGCCGGGAGCAGCCAAGAGGGGGGTGTACAAGAGGGGGGGGTGCAAATCATGACCGGCGGCATGTGCGCGGCCCAGCGGGGGGACCAGGGACGTAATGAAATAAGAAGAGGCGCCATGAAATCTGGGGAAATATCATGGCCCGCGCCATGATATCCACCCCCCCTAGTCATCACCCCCCTCTTTGCCGCCACCGACCCCTCTGCGCGTGGCTGAGCTCCTCCGGGAAGGCTGCGTTCCAGACCCGCCACGGCACGCCCGCCGGGGTGCCGAAACAGGCGCGCAAGCCAGGGAGCGGCCAACCGCAGGTCGTGCCGACGGTGACAGGCGGCGGCCGCCAGCGAGGGAGAGGAGGCTCCCCATCCTCCTCCTCTTCCTCCTCCTCCTCCACGATTCCTTTTATTCATAAATAACTTCTCCCTGTCGCACCCCGAGGTCAGTATTTGGGGCGGGCCGGGCGTTCCGCCTGAGACTCCCTGACTATCGATGACCCTGAAGCTCAAAAATGGCAACAGTTTCACAGATGGAGGGCGGCGGGTGGTTTTCAAAATGTGGCTCTCGCCTGAGCGCCGCGCACATACGTTAAAAATGCAATAGTTTCACGATTTCAAAGGCGGTTCCTTTTCAAAATGGTGCTCTCGCCTTAGCGCCGCGTACATTCGTTTTTAGAACTTGCAAGGGTTTCACGGATACCCATGATCAGAGCACCAGGAATGGTGTTTCGCAAGAATACAGGATTATGAGGGTGTAACAGTTGTTTACACTGATTCGCGGTGTCAAAATCCCAGGAATGGCGCTCTGGCACGATTCAAGATCGTCAAGACGCAACACTCAAATTGATCCGTGGCGTTGGAATCACGAAAACAATATTTTGGCATGCTTCAGAGTCTTCAAACGATTGTTTTCCAACGAGACAGTTCCCTCAGCGCGAATGCCCCTTTGTGGGGACCTATGGAGAGGGAGCTTGGAGAGACGGTTTATTCCAACATCGCTGATGCCCGCTGGGTTTACACTGGTCTTCCTCCTCCTTTTCCTCCTCATCCTCTTTCTCCTCCTCCTCTTCCTCCTCCTCTGCCTCCTCCTCCTCCTCCTCCTCCTCGTCCTCCTCCCCCTCCTCGTCCTCCTCCTCCTCCTGCTCCTCCTCCTGCTCCTCCTTCTCCTCCTCCTCTTCTTCCTCCCCCACCTGCCCCTCCTGGCGGCGTCTTGCGCGCTCCTCTGAAGAGCTCGCCCGTGCCCATCAGCGCATGGCGTGGGAGGCCGTAGCCTCGACGAGGAAGGGTTCCTGGTCAGGCCCAGTGAAACATGCGCCCACTCGTGCGATGACCACCAAGGACAGCAGCAAAGAGACAGAGGTGGAGAGCAGCAGGGCGACAGCCCGAGCCCAGGCGAAGGGCGCTGCCGGCGGAACCGCGCCGCGCAAACACGAAGTCCCGCTCTGCACCGCCTCTACCGCTTCGCCGAGGCAGGTCGAGGGGGGGCTGCGGCAAAGGCCCAGACGCTCGGGGCACGGCGTCTCAGGGCCAACCCGGGGTCAACCTCGGCCCCCCCAATGCGCCCCGCCGCCCTGAGGCGCATTTTTTGTATCCGCGGGTCGAGAGCGCACCTGTTCCGGTCGAAGCTAAGCGGGCCGCGCACAGCTTTAATTGACAGAGGGGGGAAGGCAGAAGGAGGGGCCTCAAGACAAGGCCAAGAGAGGGCAAAGCCCAGGAATCAGGCGGTGCCGAAGACGATGTGCTTGCAAAAAAACGCCTTGAACAGGAACCCGGTGGCGAAGTACCAGAAGAAGCAAAATGTTGTGGTGGTGGTGACGTCAGCGGCGCGTCATGTACACCAGCCTCAAGTGGCCGCGGGAGAGGACGCACCACGTATCCAGGGCGACGCCCGAGAGGGTGAGGAGCACCGCTGGGCCGGAGTGCAGCGTTGTGCCACCGAACAGGATGCAGGAGAGGCCCGGGTCGCAGAATCCGCACGAAAGACGGGGTCGAGGACGTCCTGGGGCCCTTGGCAGTGGGGACGCTTCAAGGTTGGCTGGCTCGCGCGGGGTCAAAGACCAGGGCACGTGTCGTCACGGCCAGAACCTGCCGTGCGGCGCGCCCGCACGCGGGCGCGATCCGTGAGCTGTGTGGGCACCCCCTTCTAAAGAGCTAAGGAGCTTAAACAGACTCCGGATTTCATCACGTGATGAAGTGGATGGTCCAAGTCCTGCAGGACGAACGACTTCCGAGCCCCCCAGACCAGCCATGGAAGGGCGGCCTCTTGCACAGACCCCCCCCGAATCCTCCGAGACAGCTCAAATCAGACCCCCCCATAAGATGACCCCCCATACATACAATTGTATTGTGAAATCCGGGCTAACCTTTCGGAGAGCCGCGCGAATTTCTCCCGCTTCCATTTTGAGCAGAGCGAGCCAGGGGCGGCGCCGGAAGCGCCACCAAAGAACGTCCAGCGCCAACCCGAGAGAACCGCATGGACCTCCAGAGGCTTGTGCTGCATATTTGTTATTTTTCTTGGAGGAGCTCCGCGGCTCCCATGCCAAGACTGGCAAAGTGCCTCATCCCAACACATCCTCTGACCATGCTTTGCCTCTTGCGATGGAGATCTCCCCCTTTGCCTCCAGCACGGCGAGTCCCGATCGGCTGCCCTCACGGCTAGGCCAGCGAGCAGCTAGCTGCAATCAGTGCCCACTGAGACCCCCAGCCGACCGCTCGGGTAAGCTAGCAGTCACGTCCTGGTTAGCACTGTCACCCATCAGTGACCAGAGTGCGCTTATATATATATATATATATATATATATATATATATATATATGTGAAACAAAAATGTACACCATGATGTCGGCGACGGCTGCCTACTTGACCGAGCGCGCGGGCAGCCCAGAAGAGAATGTCGGACGGCATGCATCTCTGCGACAATCCCACCAGCCCTGGGCGTAGGTGGTTTAGAGAGTTTCCTCTTCCATCTTCCCTCTTCCCTTCGGGGAGGGGTTTACCCCTCCCCCATACCCCCTCCCCTGGACCTGGACGGGGGGGGCCGCGAGGGCTTAGAGCGTCCAAGATGGCCCAAGACGGCTCCAAGCGGGCCTCGGAGAGCCCAAGATGAGCTCCAAGATGGCTCAAGATAGCCCAAAATGCCTCAAGATGGCTCCCAAAATGTTCCAAGAGGCCCCAAGACTGCCCCAAGACGGCTCCAAGTGGCCTTGGAGCCTCCCAAGGAGGCCCCCCAAGAGGCCAAAATGGCTCCCAAACCAGGGAAAATCAATGTTTTTGGCTTTTTCGCCTTTTCGCTTCCGATGGCCATTCGAGGCCTCAAGATGGCTCCAAGATGGCCCAAGAGGGCCCCAAGAGAGGCCCAAGATGGCCCCAAGACGGCCCCAAGAGCGCCCAAGAGCGCCCCAAGAGCGCCTCAAGATGGGCCCAAGAAGCGATTTTTCAGGCTGCCGAGGGGCGACGCTAATTGCGACCTTCCCCTTCTTTGATCGATCGTTTCCAAGATGGCTCCAAGAGGCGCCCGGGAGGCACCAAGAGGCGCCCAGATGGCCCCAAGATGGTCCCAAGATGGCCCCAAGGGGCCCCCAAGAGACCCCCCAGAGGCTCCCGCAGCTGACGAGGCCAGAGGCTCACGTCTGAAAGAAAACTGCCGGCCAGAGGCTCCTGCAGCTGACGAGGCCAGAGGCTCACGTCTGAAAAAATGAAGACAGCATCTGTTATCTCAACAGTTCGAAGAACATCCAGCCACTTCAATTCCCCTGGGCATCATTTCTGGATGGGCTGGTGGGGATACTTTTTTGAGTCGCGGCCCGCAAGGAAAGCTGGTGGGGATACGCGAAGCGTCTAGAGTTTTGGTGTTCGCAGCGCCATGCGCGAAACAACAAGGACCAGTATACTTCGGAAACCTCCTTTGGTCAGCCGAACAAAATCAGGAAGAGCCGTCGAAATGTTGGACGCGCACTGCAAAGGTCCACACAGCAGGGCCCCTCCTGGCTGCTGCGTGCCCCGTCACTGTATACATACCATGGTTTGTCTTCAATGTCACGAAGCTTCATGACCGCGAGAGCAAGCATCCCTGACGATCACGCCAGACCTAGAGCCCGAGGTTGGGGGGTGAGATCGCAATGGAACGGAGAACCCCTCACCGAGAAATCGGATTGGTTTCATGTTCGTGTCGTGCGGGCTGGCGAAGCGAAGCTGCGTGGTCGCGCGAAAGGAGAAACGCCGCCGTGGCAAGGCGCTGTGGATCCGGTTGTCCGCCCCTGCCCACCCCAGCGCGGTGGCCGGGAGTGTCCCGTCGGTGGCTCGTCGGTGTTCCATCAATGTCCCGTCGGTGTCCCGTCGGTGCCTCGTCGGTGCCCCGTCGGTGTCCCGTTGGTGTCCCGTCGGCATCCCGTCGGTGTCCCGTTGGTGTCCCGTCGGTGTCCCGCCGTGGTGTCCCGTCGGTGTCCCGTTGGTGTCCCATCGGTGTCCCGTCGGTGCCCCGTTGGTGTCCCATCGGTGTCCCGTCGGTGTCCCGTTGGTGTCCCACCGGCGTCCCGTCGGTGTCCAGTCGATGTCCCGTCGGTGTCCAATGGTGAGATCGATAGCGAGATCGATGATAGGATAAAGACGATACTGAAACCCATAATGAGACCACGTGCGATATCGATGATGAGATCGATAGTGAGATCCATTGGTGTCCAGTCGGCGTGCCGTGGTGTCCCGTCGGTGTCCCGTCGGTGTCGGGTCGGTGTCCCGCGGGTGTCCCGCGGGTGTCCCGTCGGTGTCCCATCGGCGTCCCGTCGGTGCCCAGTGGTGTTTCTTGGTGAATCGGTAATGAGACCGATAGTGAGACCGACAGTGAATGGTGCACCGATGGTGCCCCGATTGGTGTCCCGATGGGTGTCCTGGTGGTGCCCTGGTGGTGTTTCGATGGTGTTTCGATGGTGTTTCGATGGTGTCATGGTGGCGTCCATAAGGGGGAGACTTGGGGGGATGCAAACAACCCGATACGCCAAACTGTTTTCAATGTCGACACCACCGGCCACGGGCTCGATTGTGATATTGAGGATCCGATGTCCCGTCGGAGTCCCGTTGGTGTCCCGTCGGTGCCCCGTCGGTGTCCCGATTGGTGTCCCGAGGTGGTGTCCCGATTGGTGTCCTGATAGTGTCCGATCAACACAAACGCACACACACACACTCTGTCTTTCTCTCTCTCTCTCTCTCTCTCACACACACGTTCTTGCGTCGGCAGCTAGGCAGAGCACCTGCGCTGAAGGATGACCAATCACAACGGGAATACCGTTGAAACTGATTGTGCTGCCACGCGGCAAAAAGGAAGGGGACAGGGAGGGCGGCCGAAGGAGGAGAGAGGGAGCGAGGGCCGCTCAGGGGGACGGGCCACACCCCGAGCGAATGGCGCGGCCCGCCCCGCCAGCAGGGTAGGCGGCGGCTGCTGCGCCCGGGCCCGGCGGCGGCGGGGCGCAGTACGGGCACTGGGACTGCCAGTGGCACATGCGATGCGAAGAATGCCAGAGCCAGTAGTAGAAGGCGGTGCGTCCCCAGGGAGGGGAGTGGGCGAGGAGTGCCCAGTCGGTCGGTGGGCAGCTGCGGCGGCGGGCGGCAAGACCAGGCCCGGGGCGGCAGCGCAGGCTGCGAGCAGCCAGCCATCGCCATGGCGGCGCGCAGAGGGAGGGATAGAGAGAGCGGGGGAGGGGGGAGTGGACAGGGCGGAGGACGCCCCGCCTGCAGAGACCCGCAGGCGGGGAGGCGGCAAACACACACACACACACACACACACACACACGCACACACACACATCAACCCAGGGGATGCCACCAGTGGAGGCGGAGGTTGAGGAGGAGGAGACAGAGAAGGAGGGGGGAGAGGGCAGGAAGAGGAGGCGGATTCTACGTCTCTCCCAGCCGAGTTGACCCCCCACAAGCTGCACACTGAAGGGGCCAGACTCCAGAGGTCGGCCCTGCCACTGAGCCGATCCTCCAGCTCTCGCAACTCCGTCCACTCCACCCAAGCAAAAGAACTCAGCCAGCTCTGCTGGGCAACAATGGATTCGTGCTCGATGGTTGGCTTGCCCTTTGAGGAATACCTGTGTTACCCTTCCCGGCACCTCTTCCGGGATCGGGCACGGGACTGCTCACCCCTCCCGGGGCAATCATATTGGGAGGGCGGTCGGGGCTCTGTACCGAGGCGGGCCACGCAAGCGGTCCAGAACGCAATCATATCGCAGCGTTGAATCGCTTTAAGGCCTGCCGTCATCCAAAGAATGGAGTGATCAGCAGGCACTGTGATCAGAGGTCGAGCCTTCTCGCCTTCGGCGTTTGGTCGAACCCTTTCGCCCTCGGCGTTTGGTCGAGCATTCTCGCCCTGCTGATGCGCCGTGCAGGAGCCTGGCACACCTGACCTGACGTCACCCTCGATGTGCTGACCAGGGAGGCGCGGAGTGCGCCTGGGGAGGTTGCAGCCGAGGCAGAGCAGGAGAGACACCCAAACCCCCGTCAGTCCGATGCGCTGGTCCTCCTCCTACTCCTCCTCCTCCTCCTCCTCCTCCTCCTCCTCCTCCTCCTCCTCCTCCTCCTCCTCCTCCTCCACCTCCACCTCCACCTCCACCTCCACTTCCACCTCCATCCTCCCTCTGCCTCCCTCACCCCTCCCCCTCAAACCACCAGCCTGGGGTTACCATCGGAACAGGCGTTCGACCCGCTCGGATCTCCACGCAGGCGTCCTGCAAGGCTTCCGCGTCCGGCTTGGGTGCGTTCACCAGCCGCCGCCGCAGGTGCCACGCCACTTCGCGCTCCTCCTCCGAGGAGGAAGTAGGAGCGACAAGGCAAGACAAAGGACTCAGGCGCGGAGGGAAGGAGGGACAAGGAGAGGCGGGGGAGAGAGAGGGGAGTGGCCCAAAAATGAAACCTCGGCTCGACGACCCTGCGATTGGCCACCCCGACAAGTTCGTCATTCTCGTAGTTAGAAAAATCGATCTGCAAAACAAAAGCGAACAAACAAAACAAGCAAAACCAAACACAAAATACGCTCGAAACACTTAACAACCAAAAAAACACCACGACAACACCAACAACAACCACAACAACAACAACAACAACAACAACAACAACAACAACAGCAGCCGCAACAACAACAACAGCAGTAGCAGCAACAACAACAATAACAACAACAGCAACAACAACAACAACAACAACAACAACAACAACAACAACAACGACGACGACGACGACAACGACAACAACAACGACATCAGCAGTAGCAGCAGCAGCATCAACAACAACAACAGCAGCAACAACAACAACTACAACGACCACGACAATGACAACGACAACGCAACGACAACGACAACGGCAACAACAACAACGACAACGACGACGACACCATAACAGCAACAACAACAGCAACAACAACCGCAACAGCAACAAGAGCAACAACAAGAACAGCAACAACAACAACGACGACGACAGCAACAACAACAAAAAACAAAAATAATGATAATAACAACAACAACAACAACAACAAGGTTAAGGCCGGCATGCCCCCCCGGGGTGCGGGAACGGATCCGCCGCCGGTTCCACCACAGTGGAGGAGGCCGGCACTGCCCCCCCGGTCAGTCCGAAGGGGGGGGGGAGGCGAACAACACAACACAACATCCGAGGGATTCCTTAGGGAATCCTTTAGAATCCCTCGGGGATCCTTAAGGAATCCCTAAGAATCCTGAAGAACCCCTAGGAATCGATAGGGAATCTTTAGGGTATCCATAAGAATCCCGAAGGAATCCCTACGGAATCCTCAGGGAATCCTGAAGGAATCCGGAGGAAATACCTTGGGAATCCTTCGGGAATCTTCAAGGAATCCTTAAAGAATACCTCAGGGATCCTCAGGGAATCGTTAAGAATCCCTCGGGGATCCTAAGAGGACCCTTAGGGGATCCTCAGGGATCCCTGGGGAGTCCTAAAGGGATCCTTCCGGAATCCTTAAGAATCATTCAGGAATCCTTCAGAATCCCGAAGGAACCCTTAAGAATCCTCAGGGAATCCCTACTGAATCCTCAAGAATCCCTCGGGAGTCCTCAGAGAATCCTTAAGAATCCCCTCGGAATCCGTTAGAACCCCTAGGGAATCCTTAAGACTCCCTGGGGAATCCCTAGGGACTCCTCAAGCATCCCTAAACAATGTTAAGAATCCCTTAGAAATCCGTAAGAATCCTTCAGGAATCCTCAAGAATCCTTAAGGAATCCTGGAGAATCCCTAGGGGATCGGATCCTGAAGAATCCCTAAGGAATCCTTCAGAATCCCTAAGGAATCCATAAGGAATCCCCAAGGAATCCTTACCAATCCCTAGGGAATCCTTAAGAATCCCCAGGGAACCCCGAGGGGATCCTTCATAATCCCCAGGGAGTCCTTAAGAATCCCTAAGGAATCCTGAAGATTCCCTAGTGAGTCCCTGGGGATTCCTTAAGAATCCTTCAGGAACCCTTTGGGGATCCCTCAGGAATCCTTGCAGAATCCTTAGGGACTCATTAAAAATTCCTCGGAGATCCTCCGGAAATCCTCACGGAATTCATAAGAATCCGCAAGGAATCCCTAAGGGATCCTTAAGAACCCCTGGGGCATCCTTCAGGATCCCTAAGGAATCTTTCGGGAATCCTGAAGAATCCCGAAGGACTCCTTAGGGATTCCTTAAGAATCCTGAAGAACCCCCCGGAACCCTCGAGGAATTCGCAAGGATTCCTTAAGAATCCTTGGGGGGTACTTAGGGATTCCTTAAGAATCCTGAGGGAATCCTCAAGAATCCATAAGGACTCCTTAAGAATCCCTAGCGAATCCTTAAGGAATCCCTAGGGCATCATGGGGAATCCTTAAGGAATCCGGGGATCCTCAGAGGGAATCCTTAGGGAATCCAGGGAATCCTTCAGAGTCCCTAGGGAACCCTTCAGGAACCCTTCAGAATCCTCAGAAAGAATCCCTAGGGAATCCTTTGGGAATCCTTAAGAATCCCGAATGAATCCTTTGGGAATCCTCAGGGAAGTCTTTAGAATCCCTGGGGAATCCTTAAGAATCCGTACGGTATCCTTAGGGAATCCTGAAGAACCCCCTAAGGTATCCTTATGGAATCCTCAAGAATCCCGTAGGTATCCGTAGGTATCCTTGGGGACTCATCAAGACTCCCTAAGGTATCAATGGGGATTCCATCAATATCCCTAGGGGAGTCCTAAGAATCCCCATGGAACCCTTAAGAATCCCTCAGGTATCTGTAGTATGCGTATGAATAGTGGTAATCGACAGAGCACTTGAGGTGTAGCAGTAGTAGTGGTGGCAGCAGTATTAATAGAATCAATAGCCCAAGAAATTGTAGTAGTAGCACTAGCTTAGTACTAGTAGTAGTAGTAGTACTAATACTAGCATTCGTAATAATAGTAGCAGTAGCAGCAGTAGCCGTACAAGTAGCAATACTCGTACTAATTGTAGTCGTCGTAGTAATAGTACAAGTGGTACTCGCAGTAGTAGTAGTAGTAGTAGTAGTAGTAGTAGTAGTAGTAGTAGTAATCATAAGAATATCAGTATCAGTAGTAAGAGCAGTAGTCCTCACAATAATACGAATTCAATAGTGGAACTAATAGTAGTAGTATCAGTAGTAGTAGTTGTAGTCGTAGCAGTAATAATAGCAGCCGTGGTGGTAGTAGGACTAAGAATAAGATTAGTTGTTGTTTTTGTAAACGAGATGTACGGCACTAACAATGGCAGTAGTAGCGGTGGTAGTAGTAGTGGTAATGGTAGCAGCGGTGGTATCATTTGTAAAATTAGTAGCAGTAGTAGTAGTAGTAGTAGTAGTAGTAGTAGTAGTAGTAGTGGTAGCAGTAGGAGTAGGAGTAGTAGTAGTAGTAGTAGTAGTAGTAAAAGTAGTAGTACTAGCAGTAGTAGTAGTAGTACTACTACTACTACTACTACTACTACTACTGGTACTAGTACTAGTATTAGCATTAGTATTAGTAGTGGTGGTAGCATTCGTAGTGGAAGTCGTAGTAGTAGTAGTGGTAATCGTAGCAATAGTAGTAGTAGTAGTAGTAGTAGTAGCAGTAGTAGTAGTAGTAGTACTAGTAGTCGTAGTAGTAGTAGTAGTAGTAGTAGTAGTAGTAGTAGTAGTGGTAGTCGTAGTCGCTGTTGTAGTCGTATCACTAATAATAGTAGCCGTGGCGGTAGTAGTAGTAGTAGTATTAAGAATAATAATGGTTGTTGCTGTTGGAAACCAGAATGTAGTAGCAATAGCATTGGCAGTGGCAGTGGTGGTAGTACTAGTGGTAATGGTAGCAGTGATGGTAGTGTTAATGGAAAACGAATAGTAGTAGCAGTATTTGTGGTAGTAGTAGTAGTAGTAGTAGTAGTAGTAATAGTAATAGTAATAGTAATAGTAATAGTAGTAGTAGTAGTAGTAGTAGTAGTAGTAGTAGTAGTAGTAGTCCTGGTACAAATGATACTGAAGAGAATGGCGGGGGGGGGACGAAGAGGAGGATCGGGAGGGGGAAGAGCACACACGCACACACGCACACACGCACACGCGCACACACGCACCCACGCACACACACAAACACACACACACACACACACACACGCAAACCCCCATAGGGTTGCGTTGTGTTGTGTTGTGTTGTTCGCCCCCCCCCTCCCATCTCCCCCCCGGGGGGCCCTGCCCTGCCTGTATCAACAACAACAAGAACAACAACAGCAGCAACAACAACAAAAACAATAAATTGCAGACTGTTCGTTCCTACCCGCTCGCGTGCCATTCATGACGCATTTACCAATGCATCGATACCCGCCCTCTTCGTCTTCGATCGTACCCCCTTAAAGGTGTATCTTTCTTGCCTGCAACTCGCATGTCGTGCAGCCACTAGGGCACGGGAAGAGAGAACGGATGGAAAGAAGGGACAAGGGGGAGGGAGGAGGATGGAGCACAAGAGAGAAGAGCAGGAGGAGCAGAGAGCACCTGGCAGAACCAGACGGGCAGATCGGGCAGGTAGACCCCAACGGGCGGGTCGGGAAGGCGGGCCCGGACGGCCAGGTCGAGCAGGCGGGTTGCTGAAGCGTGCGTCCTTCATGAATCGCGAGGAAGTCTCGAGCGACAGCGCGATTCCTAAAACGTGAAGAAATCCACAAGGAGAGCGTGGCTCCTGAGTGTCGGGAGCGCGGCGTCTGAATAAATTGACAGAAAGTCCCACGCGCGAGCGCGATTTCTGCATAGCTTGTGAGGAAGTCCCGCGCGAGAGCGCCACTTAGGAATAAATTGTGAGGGTGTATCAAACGGGAGCCGTCGTTGTTGTAAACCGGTAACCAAGGGCGCAGATTGGTGACGACCGCCATCCCATTGTAGAAAGCAGTGTGCGAGCCCTGGGGGAAGCACTTCAATTGAAAAATATGGTAGTTACTGAACAGGGGGGATCAACAATAATTATTGCTTGGAAACGAGAATTCAACAGCAACAACAACAAAACATCAACAGCAACAACAAAAGCAACGGCAACAACAATAGTAATAATGGCAACAACAATCGCAACAATCGCAACAACAACAACGACGACGACGACATCAACAACAGAAAACAAAAATAATAACAACAACAACAACAACAACAACAGCAACAACAACAACAACAACAACAGCAACAACAACAACAACAAGGACAACAACAACATCAACAACCACATGGACAACAACAACATCAACAACAACAGCAACAACAACAATAACAATAACAACAACGACAACAACAACCAACAACGACGACAACAACAACCACAACAATCACAACCACTACAACAACAGCAATACTGTTAAGACTGGTTATTCTTATCTGCTCGCGTGTCACTCAACGCGCATATCCCCGGCCCCGTTGGAGGTATACCTTTTCGTGGCACCGCCGCAATGCTAAAATGCTGCGGGGGCCCACCGCGTGCAAACCTCTTCCCCTGCCCCGCGGGGGCAGCGCGTGTCCACCGCCCACGTGCGAACCACTCCCCCAGCCCCGTGGGGCCAGCCCATGGTCGCCGAAAGGCTGTCACCCTTACCTAAGGGCATCAAACCTGGATGTTGAGAAGACAGCAAATTTTCCACAACAAGCCGGGGCAAGGTGACAGGTTGCTCCGACACCACTACCACCACCACCATAGCAACAACTACTACTACAACAGCAACAACGACAACGACGACCACAACAGCAACAACAACAACGACGACGATAACAGCAACAACAACAACAACAGCAGCAGCAATCGCAACTACAGCAACAACAACAGCAGCAACAGCAACAACAAAAACAACAACCACAACAACGACAACAACAACAACAACCAAAACAACAACAACAACAACAACAACAACAACAACAACAACAACAACAAGGACAACAACAACAACATCAACAACCACATGGACAACAACAACATCAACAACAGCAACAACAACAATAACAATAACAACAACGACAACAACAACCAACAACGACGACAACAACAACCACAACAATCACAACCACTACAACAACAGCAACACTGTTAAGACTGGTTATTCTTATCTGCTCGCGTGTCACTCAACGCGCATATCCCAAACATTCGATACCCGCCCTCTTCGTCTTCGATCGTACCCCCTTTGGGGGTACATCTACATTGCCCGCAACGTGTATTTCGTGTCGTGCAGCCCCTGAGGCCTGAGGCAGGAGAAGAGGACGGATAAAAGGAAGGAACAAAGGGAAAAGGAGGAGGATGGAGCACGGGAGAGAGCAGAAGAAGGGGGGCTAGGAGCCGAAAATGAGTGGCAGAAGCAGACGGGCAGGTAGGGCGGATAGGCCCTAACGGGCGGGTCGGGACGGCGGGTCCAGGCGGTCAGGTCGAGCAAGCGGGTTGCTGGAGCGTGCGTCCTGCATGAATCGCGAGGAAGTCTCGCGCGATAGTGCGATCTGCAACGGGGCCACGAAGGGCAGAGGGGGGGAAACGAAGGAACGGGCCCCCGAAGGGTATAGCGAGGGGGCTACGAAGGGTTGCAACGGGGCCACGAAGGGCAGCGATGGGGCCACGAAGATCTGCAACGGGGCCACGAAGGGCAGCGACGGGGCCACTAAGGGCTGCAACGGGGCCACGAAAGGCAGCAAGGGGGCCACGAAGGACTGCAACGGGCCACGAAGGGCAGCGAGAGAGCCACGAAGGGCTGCAACGGGGCCACGAGGAGCATCGAGGGGGCCACGAAGGATTGCAACGGGGCCACGAAGGGCAGCGAGGGGGCCACGAAGGACAACAACGGGGCCACGAAGGGCAGCGAGGGGGCCACGACGGGCTGCAACTGGGCCACGAAGGGCAGCGAGGGGGCCACGAAGGGCTGCAACGGGGGCCAAGAAGTGCAGCGAAGGGACCACGAAAGGCTGCAACGGGGCCACGAAGGGCAGCGAGGGGGCCACGAAGGACTGCAACGGGGGCCAAGAAGTGCAGCGAGGGGACCACGAAAGGCTGCAACGGGGCCACGAAGGGCAGCGAGGGGGCCACGAAGGACTGCAACGGGGCCACGAGGGGCAGCGGGACGAATGTAACACACGGGCGGGACAACTACACAGGCAACAGGAGACGCGCGCAATGCTACTCGGAGAAAATAAATCACACCACGTGTGGACAATCACTTGAGCTAAGCGCTCGCCACCGAGGCCGACTACGAATAAAGCGAAACCGAGAAGCCCGGGGCAAGAAAGAGAAAAGACGACGAGGAAGAGGACAAAGACGAGGGAGAGTGGACAGCGTGGTTGTGAAATGGCTCGCACGCGCATCGGCTGCCGAAAAATAACCTGCCCAAGCCAGGAGTAAACGAACATCGGCCACTAAGAAATGCGTCATGACACGAAAATGCCCCCTATAGTCGTATCAACAGTCGATTTCTAGTGCAAGGCACTGAGAGCGCCAAGGGTTGCGGAAGCAGTAAGCTCCGAAAGACATGCTACGGTGAGCAAGTGTAATGCACGAGGCGAGGGGAGAAAGGGGGGGGAAACCGAAGAGAGGGGGGGAAGGGAGGGGAGGGAAGGAGACAAACCAGCACCACGAGAGCGACCATGTTGTGCTCGCCTCGATTCGGAGACAATTGCTGCCAACGGCGGGTGCGCTGCGCACGCCACTCGACCACACTGACACGAAGCGCGGGCCGCGTCCGCGGTGGTGCCGTGCCCGGCGGCACACGAGGCAGCACGTGCACAGCTCGCCGCCGGGGCGCGACGTGCTAACGCAGGAGCCTCGTCCTCACAGAAGAAGCGCTGGCTCCAGAGCTACGAAGCACGACAACCGCACCGCGGGGTCCACGAGGGGTAAACGCAAATGCATGTAGCCCAGCTCCGCTAGGCAAGGGCACTGCGCAAAGTGCAACAAGCCATCCTCGCCGCGCTCGATCCCGAAAGAACAGGGAGCCTTCCGTCCAAAGCGGGCGGCTGTGGTCCAGCTGTCGCACAGCGCCCTGCACAGGGAGGCCCACACCCTCGGAGACACACACAGCGCGGCGCCGCGAGGCACCTCCAGCGCGCGCGGCGTGCGGCGGCCCAGGCAGAGGTGGAGGAGAACGAGGGGGAGGGGCTAGAGGATAAAAAGGTGGTGGAGGAGGAAGACGAGGAGGAGGAGGGGGAACGGCAATAAGAGGGGGAGGGGCTAGAGAAGGAGGAGGAGGAAGAGGAGGAGGGGGAGGAGGAGGAGGGGGAGGAGGAGGAGGAGGAGGAGGAGGAGGAGGAGGAAGAGGAGGAGGAAGAGGAGGCGGAGGAGGGAGGCGGGAGAGGGAGCGAGAAAGTTCACGAGTGGGACATGTGTGGACAGACCCCGTCAGCAGCTGGCGGCACCGCCGTTGCCACTGCGACCAGGGCGACGGCTCAGTGGAGGTCCCCTGGACCAAGGGGGTGACCGAGAGACCTGCCGCCGCGGCGCAGGACTCGAGGGTGAGATTTCTCTCATGCCACTCTGATCACGAGGTGTTGCGCGTAGGTGAAGTCTGCAAGAAATCGTGTAACCACCATATCCTGTCAGAACTGACCATGGCAGAATTATCCTGAAATTACACTGGAGTCATCCCAGAAGTATCCCAACGACACTGGTCAGGAGCCGTTGTCCAGGACAATATTGACTCCCGCTGGGCCAGGATGACGTTGATTAAACACGATCCGTCGAAACAAGATCCTTGGAATCATCCTACTCGCCTTCCTCGTCCTCCTCCTGTTCCATACCGTCTCCTCCACCTCCTCCTGCCCCTCCTCCTGCTCCTCCTCCACCTCCTCCTCCTCCTCCTCCTCCTCCTCCTCCTCCTTCTGCTCCCTCCTTCCGCTCATCCCACCCCTCCCTCTTCTCCTCACGCTCCTTGCCTCCTTGTCCTCCTCGTCCCCTCGTCCCACCTCGTCCTTCCGCTCATCGTCCTGCCGCTCCTCGTCACCCCTCGTCCTTCCGCTCCTCGTCCCACCTCGTCATGCCGCTCGTCGTCCCCACCCGGCTCGTCCTCCTCGTCCTCCTCGTCCTCCTCGTCCTTCCGCTCATCCCACCCCTCATCCCCTCGTCCGTCCTGTGCCTCCTCCCCCCTCCTCCTCGTCGTCGCCCCTCCTACTCCGTCCTCGGCATACCCCCACATACCCCACCCCCACTCCTCGGTGAGCTCGTCGGGGGCACGCATGCACACCAGCGGGTACACCCAATCACAGACGCCCATCCGGTCCTCGATGTGCTGCCGCTCTGGACCACTGCATCTGCCCTCCTGGGGGGAGCAGGGGGAGATATTTTTGCTTGCGATGCACGGTCAAGGATCCGAATCAATTGCGGCAAACAGTGAACGTCAGCATTGTACCCGTAACGTTTGCGGCGAGCACTCCTGCCGAGCGCTGATCAAGACTCGTCAGGCGGAGAGGGTGCGGCTTGGCATCTCCTCCTCCCCCTCCTCCTCTTCCTCCTCCTCCTCCTCCTCATCATCATCATCATCATGATCATCATCATCAGCAGATCATCATCATCATCATCATCATCATCATCATCATCATCATCATCAGCAGCAGCAGCAGCAGCAGCATCAGCATCAGCATCATCATCTTCTTCATCTTCATCATGCAAATTCATCTCATCGTCTTCATCATCTCATCATCAAGCAGCATCATCATCATCCTCATCATCCTCATCATCCTCATCATCCTCATCCTCATCATCATCCTCATCATCCTCATCATCCTCATCATCATCATCCTCATCATCCTCATCATCCTCATCATCATCATCAGCATCATCAACATCACCATCAGCATCACCATCAACATCATCCTCATCCTCATCCTCATCATCATCATCGTCATCATCAACATCACCATCAGCATCACCATCACCATCAGCACCAGCATAGTCATCATCACCAGCAGCATCGTCATCGTCATCAGCATCAGCATCAGCATCGTCATCATCCTCATCATCCTCATCATCCTCATCATCATCATCGTCATCATCGTCATCGCCTTCATCATCATCATCATCATCATCATCATCATCATCATCATCATCATCATCATCATCAGTATCAGCACTAGCAGCAGCATCGTCATAATCCTCATCATCATCGTCGTCATCATCATTAGCATCATCATGATCATCAGCATCAGCAGCAGCATCAGCATCAACATCAGCATCAGCATCAGCATCAGCATCATCATGATCATCAGCATCATGATCATCAGGATCATCATCATAACCATCATTCAGTGATACTCACCATCATCATCAGCATCGTCATCATCATCATCATCATAATAAGCAGCAGCATCAGCATCATCAAAAACATCAGACTCATTAGCATCATCAGCAGCGGCATCAGCATCATCAGCGGCATTAGCTTTCTAATCATCAACACCATCATCAGCATCAGCAGCATCGTTATCATCATAAACATCATCGGAATCATCATCATCATCATCAGCAGCATCTGCATCATCATCATCATCAGCAGCATCAGAAACATCAGCATCGCCATCATCATCATAATCAGCATCAGCATCATCATAACCCGCATCACCATTGTCATCATCATCACCATCATCATCGTCATCGTCATCATCAACAACAGCATCATCCTCATCTTCATCGTCATCATCATCAGCAGCATCATCAGCATCATCATCACCCTCCTCCTCCTCCTCGTCCTTCTCCTCCTCCTATTCCTTCTCCTCCTTCTCGTCCTCCTGCTTCCTCCTCCTCCCGATCCAATCAAACGTTGGGGCGCATGAGGTGTAAAGAGATCTTGGTGCTAGCGTCGTGTTTGCCCCTCCCCCATACCCCCTCTTCTAGAATCCGGACTCTGGGTCACCGCGGGGGATGGCTTCGCAATTGCATCACGCAGCCCAAGATGGCCTACAAAATCTCAGTATACCGCCGGGATTGCTCAAGATGGCGTCCAGCATGCATTGGACAGGACCAAGGAGGCCCAAAATGGTTCCAAGAGGCCACGGAGCCTCCCAACGTTGCCCCCGAGAGGCAAACCTCCTTCAAAATCTGACGTACCGTTGTGCGAATAACATGACCGTCCCACCTATTCGCTTCCGACTGGTTTCTGGGGCGTCAAGGAGGCCCAAGAGGGGCCAAGAAGCCCCGAAGGGCCACAAGAGCGCCCCGAGTGGGTCCCAAAAAAGCCCACGTGGGGGCATGCTGTCGGGTTCCAAGTGGGGGGGAGAGGGGGAATCGAGGACACCCCCATGTTGACCGATGTTCTCCAGCTGGTTCAAAGAGAGCTCCCAAGGCCCACACGCGAGGGCCCAAAGAAACCCACACGAGTTCTTCCAAAACCCCTACAAGGCCCCAGGAGAGCCCCAAGATGATTCAGAGATACATCCAAGAGGCTATCAGACATCCCGAAGTTCCCATGCCTTCGTGGGAATACTCGGAATGACGAGGATTGTTCTCCTCATCTCCCCCTGTTCCTTCCTCGCCCGGCACCATCATCTGTCGTGCACTTCCTCGTCCTCATCATCATGTCCCTATTCCTCCTCATCATCATATGCGGCCCTGGTCCTCATCCTGATGCTTCCCCTGCTCCTACTCGACGTTATGAAACCCCCTACCTCTAATACTAATCCTCCTCCATGCTCCTTTGTTCGATAAGATAATCAATACATTCGTCGTGCTCACGTCCTCCTCCACATGTGCATCCATCACCTCCACGTCCAACACTACCTGCTTCCTCCTGTCCACCACCAAACCGTCCGCCACCTCATCCACCTCCGCTTGTCACCTCTCCTGCCGACGCAACGAAGATGAGCGAAGGCCATCCTCGAGAAGCCGCCCACCTTCCTCATCGCCATGTTCATGGCCAGTCCCGGCCATGGCGGGCGCAGTTGGAGCAAAGCCGCTGCAGCGCAGGGGTTGTAGCGACGACGCAGAAAAAAGAGAAAAAGCAGGAGGAAAGGGACGCGAAGCAAAACGAATCATCCATGCGGAGCATCCCGCGACCCTATGTAAGGCTATGTCAGCGAAGCTATAACCTAGACAAATGTGTGAATACAGTTATGTGTATAAGATGTGAGAGTGCGAATATATATATATATATATATATATATATGTGTGTGTGTGTGAGTTTCACACAAAATTAACATACATGTCCGCAGTATATATATAGCCAATTCTATATTGTTAACGCATACGTGTGCTCTCCTGTATGACGAAAATCAGGTGTGCATGTATGCATGTGTGTATGTGTATATGTTTGTATGTGTGTATGTGTGAGACTTATAGGGTGGAACGCAGTCTCCGACCACCGGGTGGAACAGCTGCCAGGGTGGAACGAACAAGCCTGCAAGGACTTCGTAACCCAGCTCATCGCCGAAGACTTTGACGTCCGCAACCTGTTTAGGAAACTCGGCGCCAGTGTCAACTGGCAACGAGCATGGGACAAAAAGATCCAGAAGAGGGAGCGCCTCGCCGGGTTCGGCAAGGGCAAAAGAAAGCCCTGAACCCCACGGGAAATGCAAGCGGCGCGCCGACTCAGCCTGGCCCAGCAACGAGCACTTCAGGCAGCGGCGCCCGGGTGGCTCCACCCGGCACCAAACTCCACTCCATGTCTGACCAGCCCCACCACAGCACCTACGCCAGCCCACTGGCGATCCCCCATTTTGGTTCGCCGTGGCGGTTGCCCAACGCCACTCGCGCGCCCGCCGCCCGGCCCCGCGGCTTCCTCGGCGCCTCGCGCCCGCTGGACTGCCCCAGGCACGCGAGTCTGCACTCCTCCTGTTTTCCTGCGCTGGCGGCCCCTGCGCTGGACTCCCCGGGCCGGGCTGCCGCCCGTGGCCCACGGCTGGGCCTCCGCCTCGTCTCGATCGCTTGCACCAGCTAGCGGCGCCACAGCCGACCTCTGGCTTGCTGGCGCTGCGCCAGCGCCCAGCCTCGCCAGAGGCCCGCCTTCTCTCTTCCTGTCCGTGCACCTTTCAGTGTCTCTTGCTGCACCATCGCCCGCGGCCGACCCGCTTCTCGGCCTTGGCCGCCCCCCAAAGGCGGGGCCCTGGGTTGGTCTTGCCACCCACGCCCCCCCACTGGAAGCCGGCGGTAAACCGCCGGGAACTCGTAGAGATTCCTTGCCATATATGCACATGGATGGCATGCGAGCGCGGCAATATTGCAGTCAGCGCGCGCGAGGGTGTGCGATTTCATAGAGATGCGCTGGACAGTTCCTTGCCTGTTCACAACTCGAGTTCAGTTGAGACAAACACCCACGCAAGAAAGTACAAAGCTGAACAGATGCTTCCATAATATGCGTGGATCTTAAGAAGCTCTTGTCACGTGTAGAGCATGCGAGCTTGGTAGCTGTTTGTAAGGCACAAATAGTTGATTGGTCGCAGCTCTGATAGCAGACCGATCTCAGACGTCTCGACGCTGCAGACTAGCGCTCGTGATCATTTCTATTCGAGCAGTCTGCTTCCCAGCTTCGCAGCTTGCCTACAGCTCGAATTAGTAGAGAAAACCAACACGGCTTATCTAAAATTTCAATGGCCGGTAGCAGGGGGATCTGGCGGTAACCTGTTTGACGGTTCACCGCCGGCTCCGAGTTGGCCCACCCGGCCTGGGCGGACAATGTGACGACCTGGGGTCGGTTTTTGAAGATTGTGAGAGATTTGAAAATTCGCTTGAGCATCTGAATGTTATTCCCTGCAGTCGATCATGGCGCGCTTCATGGTGCAACACTCAGGGCTGCAGGTGCAGTATTAAACACTAGGAGGAAGCGACGTCGTGTAAAACCTGAAACAGACATTTTACGAGTTTTCAAGCCGACATCCGAGAACGCTCTCTCCTCGTTATCTGGGCGCTGATCTGCGCGTTGAGAGCTCTACGAGGGTCCCGGCGGTAACCTGGCTGAGTGGGGAGTGGAAGATTCGAAATCGGAGGTATGCCAAGCAGATTGCGGAGATACAAAGTGAGTTTCATGACTTGCATAATGAGTTCAATGTTGTCGGAGCTACGGTCGGAGGGAACATAGGGAAACATGTCTATCGGGAGGGAAATCAGAAAGCGGATGAATTAACCCACATTGCACGTACAAGAAAAATCGACTGTGACAGAACACATGAGTTATACGAGTATGATCTGCATGCCCTTCGGGGCGCTTTCGACGGCGGCGTCGATCAGGATAAAGCAGGAGCAGGTTGGTGGCTGGAGGGATTGATCAAGGCATCGGCATCCCATTCGATATATGGAAGCTCTGCGATTCTCGACCAAAAGCATTGGGTGCTGATCAAGTCGAAGGCGTTTGGCCTTCCCCTCCAATTCTGCCATGAACGCTGAATTCAAAGCTTGATCGAGCCTCTGCGAGGCCATCTTTAGTGTAACCCGCAATTTCGTTCGTAGGGTTAGGCTTAAGTTAAGAGACGACCTTTGTTTGCTTGTGATGCGTTAGACAGATCGCAAAATCGCCCCCCCCCCCCCCAAAAAAAAAAAAAAAAAAAATCGGGTTGACGGCTTACCGCCGGCTCCCAATTGGCCCACCCGGCTCGGGCGGACAATGCGGCGACCTGGGGTCGGTTTTTCAAAGAGCGTGAGAGATGACAATTCGTTTTGGCAAAACCGATTTGATTCCCTGTAGTGAATTATGGCGCGCTTCGTGCTGAAAGTCTGGCGGGTGTGGCTGCAGTGTAGCTCTCGAAAATTAGGAGGAACGATCTGCCGTCGGGATACTTTTTTCCAGATGATAATGGTTTTGTGACTTAACGAAAGTAGGGGGCAACCTACAGCTCAAGTACCCTGTGTAAATGTAGTAGATTATGACGCGATCGCCCGTCGAGTTCTCAGGTCCTGGCTTCAGTACTACTTTCAAAACAGCTGGCGGAAGTAACTTCGTCCAAAACCAAAAAATACATGTTTCGAGTTTAAGTTCATATTCGAGGGTTTGCTCGTCGTATCCTGATCCTCTCCTCAAGTGTGAATAACTCTACGAGGGCCACGGGGGTAACCTGGTTGACGGTTTACCGCCGGCTCCCAGTTTTGCAAAATTTTAGTCGGTTGTAAGCTATGTTCTCGAAAATTGAACAATCCTTAGAGCTAATACTTATTCACCCCATATTCAATCTTATTCCCGCTCGCCATCTTGATCTCAGGTCGACCGGGTACATACCACTGGCAAAAAGCATGAGGGCTGGATCGGCTGGTCAGTATCGTCTTCAGGTGCTGTCGTTTTTCTTGAGCTGTAGATCATCTATAGAGCTGACAGGCACACCTAATCCATCTAGAATCATCAGGCGCGCTAGTCTTAAGTATCTGGATGGCCGAACTCGGTGTACTACCAGAGCTAACACCACATAACTATTCGTACTTTGCTATTTTTACAGATGGTGATGGTTTTCTTACCTCACCTCGAGCTGCAGATGAGCTACAGCGCTGTTCGGCACAGCAATCGGAAGAGAACCATCAGAAGCGCTAGTCTCAAGTATCTAGATGACCGAACTCGTTCCACTACCAGAGCTAAGACCACAAAACTATTCGTTCTACCACAAAAAAAAATGTTCTCATCTGGACTAGATGGGCTACAGAGCTGTACGGCCCAGCAATCGAAACAGAACCATCAGGAGTGCTAGTCTATCTAGATGGCCGAACTCGGTCCACTTTCAGAGCTGGAACCAAAAATATTTCCGTACTCTGCTTTTTCCTTCAGATGACGATGAATTCGAGGTGCAGATGAGCTACAGGGCTGTTCGGCACAGCAATCGAAAGAGCATCATCAGGAGCGCTAGTCTCAAATATCTGGATGACCGAACTCGGTTCACTACCCGAGCTAGAACCACAAAAACTATTTGCTCTGCTAATTCCCCATATCCTAAGATGGGGTTCTTGTTCCCCATATCCTAAGATGGGGTTCTTGTTATTACTTGGACGCCTCCTACTCCTCATTCTCCTTCTCCCCTCTTCTCGTCTCCTCCTACTTAGACTCACTCATACTCAGATTCACTCATACACAGACTTACTCATACACAGACTTACTCATACACAGACTCACTCATACTCAGACCTGATCACATTAACTTACTCATACTCAGACCTACTCATACCCAGACCTACTCATACTCAGACTTACTCATACTCAGACTTCCTCCTTCTCCTCCTCCTTTTACTTAGATTTCCTCATACACAGGCTTACCTCCATTATTACAATCCCCCATACCCTCCCCTTATTACTACCCTCATTACCCCCACCACCCCCTCAGAATACTCATACTCAGACCTCCCTCATTTGTCTGACCTTATTCGATAAAAAGCAGATGCGGAGGGGATTTTCTCAGGCGGGGGCGCTGGTTTCAGCACCACCTACCCGACCTAAGGGGAGCGCCGAGGGGGTGTTTGCCCGGTTTCTCCCCCGTTCGCGGCCGTTTTGTGGGGATGTCTCAGGCGGTTTGCCTGTTTGTCCTGCCAACATCCTTCGCTTGGAGAGCAGATTTGGAGGATGTCTCGAGCGAGGCGCTCATTTCAGCAGCCCTAAGGGGAGCCGCCGAGGGGTGTTGCACGGTCCCGTTCGCGGCCGTTTTGCGGGGATGTCTCAGGCGGTTTGCCTGTTTGTCTTGCCAACATCCTTCGCTTGGAGAACAGATTTGGAGGATGTCTCGAGCGAGGCGCTCATTTCAGCAGCCCTAAGGGGAGCCGCCGAGGGGTGTTGCACGGTCCCGTTCGCGGCCTTTTGTGGGGATGTCTCAGGCGGTTTGCCTGTTTGTCCTGCCAACATCCTTCGCTTGGAGAGCAGATTTGGAGGATGTCTCGAGCGAGGCGCTCATTTCAGCAGCCCTAAGGGGAGCCGCCGAGGGGTGTTGCACGGTCCCGTTCGCGGCCGTTTTGCGGGGATGTCTCAGGCGGTTTGGCCCTGCTTGTCTTGCCAAATC